TGAAAAATTTTTAATTAGTCAAAATAAGCATCGTTAGTAATTGCTAAATTAGCTAGTTTTATTGATGGAGATATTATTGTTGAATGACAATTGATTATATTATTGACTAATATGTCAAATTTGATTTTTGAACATGAAAAATATTCATCGTTGTTTTTTTAAGGATTTGTTGCCACGAGTTTGATTAATTTGTTGATAATTAGGCAGATTAGCTAGTAATATGGCTGCTACAGTCTGTAAAACTGGAAAATTATAATGTCATTCAAGTTACCTTCACATGGAGGAATTCATACTTGAAATTGAAAAAATCACATATGAGTTTATTTTTTAGTATGAAGTGAGTATACAATATTTGGCAATTAGATTACCATAAAAAAAAATACAACAATTGATTGTGAGTTTGACATTTGCTAGAGCTTGAGCTCCCAATACTCTGAGTTGTGAATGGAGCCAAGTTGAGCTTGACATGTTAATTTAACGAGTTCAACTAGTCAAAGCTCCTTAATGTGTTGAGATTGTGTCTAAACGAGTCAGATACTCAGATTATATTATAAATTCAGAAAATTGCATAAAAATTGTTATTTATCAAATCTAACGAGCGTTAAACAAGCTCAATCTCGACTTACTGACTTCGTTTATCAAACAAGCTGAACCGAATTGGATCTTTAACGAGCAAGCCAACTTAAAATAATGAACGGTTCTTTTCGCTTAAGGAGACCCGCCCATCAAAGAAGACTGTGTTAGCCCAACAAAAAGGGCACATTGGTAGGCCTAAACTTTATCACTACAATATTGTGACTGAATTCCTCACTTGGAGGCCCATGATCCAAAAGTCCATATAGTAGTTCATAGAGATACATATAGTAGTGCTCTCATTGTCTTTTTTTTTTTCTTTTTTTTTTTTTTATCGTTTAATAAATTTGTATTGATCAAAACTGAAAGTCATACAACCAAGACGGCTTTCAAGAGCGTAGTGGGTAACCACAAGTCGGTTCCTCACTCGCAAAAACAAAAACAACGAGGACAATGTTCTCCTCCAACCAAGATCTTCCAAGTGCTCAAGCACTTGGCATCAACCATCCTAAAAAATTATTAAGATTTTATACTTCAACATCTAGGCTTCTTCTCTCAAATTCGGCAAGAACACTCGGAAAAAGAGCAAAAATAGATCGGTAGACGTGGGTCTTTACCTTTCTAATCACAAGGCTTGGAGGTTGGGTTTCGCCCTAAAAAATCAATTTGTTTTGCGCATTCCAAATGAAGTAGACGGTGGCCGCATGCGCCGCTTTCTTCAATTTGGCTCTCCAAGTCGTACCTTTCCCTTCTATTTTGGTTCATTTGATGCCGCCTTTAAGAGTTGTTGGCATGTGACGGAGGCTAACCCAAACTCGAATTGCACTCCATATCTCCGAGCTAAAGGGGCACTCGAAGAAGAGGTGGCTCGAGGATTCATTCGCGGTACCACAAAGGGGGCATGTCGGGTCTTCATTTAGGTACTCCAGACGATCTTTTGTTTGGAGCCTATTCATCACACCAAGCCATAAAATGAAGGAATGCTTGGGGGTATTGCAACTCCCCCAAACAACCCCGACCCATGGCTTCTCAATACCCTTTGGTCGGAGAAAATTGTAACACTTGCTACTACCGTCTTGTTTGTCGTGTAAACTCCACGCACGAAGGAAGGCTTCCGCACCGCGCACGCTACCCGCCTTTTCAATCAAGCTTTGTCGGATTTCAAAGAGGGATTTAAAGAGAGGGGAGTCATTCTTGGAAACTTGCCAATCCCAAATAGTTTTTTCCTTCAAATAGATGTTGTGGATCCATTTGAACCATAATGTATCATTCTTATCTTGCATATTCCAAAGAGTCCTCATGAGAAGTGCTCTTATTGTCTTATTTTCACCATAAGTCAATCTTTATTTTTTTTTCTTTCTTGATGAAGAATGATAATAATCTTTGTTTCGTTTTCATTTCCTTCTTTAAAATATAATTGATGAAATAAACATTAAATCACCATTTTAGTTTTTCTTAGAGCTATAAAATGAATTAAGTTGGTTGTGAATTCAGCTCATTTCATATTGATGAACGAAGCATGTTATAACTCTTTTAACAATTCATTTAGTTAATGAATCAAGTCCGACTCAATTCGATAAGACTCGTTACAAATGAGAAAATAAAGTTTTTACGTAATTTTGTAAATTATTATGTTAGCTAGACATGTTAAAGTTTCAGTTTGACTCATTTATTATAATAAATAATTTGGGCTCATGCATATAAGCTCGTTCATAGGATCGATTATTTGAGGGGTTAAACTCGGATCGACTCGATAAAGGCTCGAACCCATAATCTAGTATCAGGAGCTCAAATACATTTTTGCTCTAACAAAGGGCGGATTTAAATAGGGGCCTTTAGGGGCACAACCCCTATGCAATTTTTAAAAATATTTTGTATATATATATACACACATAATTACACTTTTGAATATTTATTTTATATACCATAATGATATTATAATAGGAATATAATTTCAAAGTCATATAACATAATTTTAAATATATAATGATTGAAAATCATTCATTCCGACTAAATGTGTTAACGTGTTTATATTAATACAAATTCTTATGTGGGGTCAGTCTAACTGTTACGTGGATTGATTTGTCATAATTTTCAAATAAAAATGCACACTTTTGACATTTTCTAATAAAAATTATATATGTATATTTGTTAAAAAATATGTCTGACATGATGTAGTGTCTAACACAAGATCAACCCATATTTAAATACTTAGAGCATGATTGGATACAAGTTCAATCCAAAATTTTTTTCATTTTTAACTCAACCACTTTTTTTAACTCAACTTTAACTCAACCCACTATTATTAATATTATCAATATAATTAAATAATATCAATCAATCATTCTTACACACAACATCAACCTTAATTCACTATTCATCTACTCACATAAATTTAACTAACTATCACATCATATCTTCTCTCTCTTACTTTTACATCAATTTAATTTTAATCATTTTATTTTAAATATTATTTTATTATATCCACTAACAACTAACCATACCTACTTTTTCAAATTTAACCAACCCAAATCAAAAATCCAATCAAAACAAAAACAAATTTATATCCAATCATGCTCAGTTTTCGTAACTCCACCTTCTATTCCATTCTTAAAAAAAGAAATTAAATTAAAAGATAATAACTTATTATTATTATTTATTTAAATAAAAAAATTACGTCCTCAACACAAGCACAATTCATGGATAGTTGGGGGCATCATTTGAAGCGAAATATAAGTGGCTGGACAACAATTGAGATAAAATTACTTTGTTCCATGTTGCCTTATTTGAATATACAATAGCATCTTTCACTGAATATGGTCTCCATTAATCAATTCAAATAATCAAAATTAGCAAAAGCATAATTTCAAAAGAAACACCACTCAGTTTTTTATTTCCTTATTTTGAAAAAGAAAGAAAAAAATGCACATTATTAATGGTTGATGTTGTACTAATTAGCATCTGATACATTCTAATACATTCTTATACATCTGAAAGGAGCTTCACAGATAAACAATGGTCTAATTTAAAGTTAATTATATATTTTTAAAAGCTTTAAACATATCCAATATTAATTAAAGAAAATGCGTGTTATTAATGGTTGATGTTCGATTAATCTCAAATTATTGTATGAGGCGGTATGACCATTAGAGTTGGTTGATCTATTTAGCAAAAGTGCTTATTTATGTTATGAATTAAATGTCATAATTCAATTTATGTTGTTCTTAATAGTATGACATTTTAATTTGAAAGTAAGTTAAAAATTATGACTGTCTAACCGTTAATTAGTTCTGCCTCACGGATTATAATAATCTTACATGAAGGTATAATTGATTCGATCGATCTCAGTATATCATATTAATTAGTTTAAAATAACTATTTAATTAACACATAAATTTTATTATACTGCCTTCAGAAAACAGAAAAATTACTGTTTGAGAATCTTAACTGCCAGGGTAAAAGAAAATTCACAGTGGATTTACCCATTGGTACCAAAAAAAGCATGTAATATAACTTAGATTAGTGATTAGTTTACTTTGATTAACAATAGCTAGCATTAGAGAAAGTAATGTATGTGCAAGAAATATAACTTAATTTTGAACTATGATAAGCAAGACTGGTCCCATTAAACTCCTATGAGTGGTAACTTTTAACTCTTTGTATTAATTATTTAAATGTTTAATTAATTTAATTTAATGTGTGATTATTGCATTAGAAAATGAAATCCATTAAGGCGTATACAAACTAATGGTTTATTGCATCTCATGGCTAAATACAATGGATCAAGAAATTGAATTAACTTTGATTCAATCTGATAGTTTTGTGCAATATATACTATTTGAAGTGATGAAATCAATGGTTCGACACAAATTATTCATTGAAATGGTCTATTATTTAGACCAATCGACCATCTTACTTTTTAAATATAAAATAAATACTTGTAGTTTAAAGCGTTATGCTTTGGCTTAAGTCTTTTTAATTTATTTCATTTATGTATAAAAATATATATATTATTAAAAAAATATGAACAGCAGCACTACAGATGATTCATTATAATATCTTTTGTTTACTAGCTTGATATCTTTTGTTTACAAGCTATTAGGTGACCAAATTAGGGAAAGTTCTCAAGATTAATATTATTTGAATTTGATTAAAACTACTCTATAAGTTTAACTTTTGACTAATTTCAGCTTCGTTTGTAGCTTATATAATATATATTACTTAAAAACAATTTTTGATCGAGATATATATAACTATTCACTTTTGAAATATGCTTTTGTATATTCTCATT